TTTAAACCTGTATTTTATATAATATATTTGTGTATCTATTCCCCCCCATGCACACACACACATTCCAAGCCCATTGTTTTGGAGATCTGCAGTTTCAACTGGAACTCAGTTCTATCCATCATGACATCAAGGCTAAAACCTATTATTAACCAAACTTCACTCTCCAGATCAGAAATCAAGAATGCATTCTAGTACATAATCTCTATTTTCAATACATTACCAAATTAGTCAGTGCAGGTGATGGTATAGTTTACTACATTTCCCCTGGAGGAATTGAGAACTGTGTCACAGGGGAGAGCAGAAAAGCTTACATGAAAGGCCTTTTTCTGCAGCCCCCTCCAGCTGACTTGTTTTGCAAGGCACAATTCATCTATTCCTCATGGAGAAAGTGATTCACTCCTATTACACAGGAATCTTACTGCACATAAACAGTATGGGCTCTAACTGACAACCTGTCAGAGACTCTGAACTTCCTGGGAAAGCAACAAGAAGCTGTCCTTTCAGTCTGTCCTTCAGGGCAGTCTGTATGACACACTTCGCAATATGGAACACAAGCGAGGTGCTGCCACAACAGCCCTAACGCAAGTTTGAGATACCCATGAAAGTCTGAGCAATTGTAGCTACTAGATTTGTTGGACATAAACACAGGTTTCCCCAAGACAGAAATGCTGTCCCAATCATAAACAAAAGCAGTTCACTATTACTTCAGGTATTACCACAACGGGAAAAAGAAGGAAAACTGCTTAGAATCTTAAGCAGACATTTTCTTAGAAACCCGTCCAGCCTCGGATAACCTTGTTCCTCTCTAATCTGACCTACTGATATTCAAAACTGGAGGAGAAGCACCACTGTCGTCTTAGAAGCTAATTTTGCAGCGACACAAGACTCCAAATAGACGCTGTTTGCCATATGCCATACATTCAACATAAAAGTAGATTTAGCACAATGGGATAAGTATTAACAACTCTCACACTCAGCAGGTACAGCAAGATGATAACTGATGGGATTAGAAAACTAAAAGTGCTAAGTATTTTTTCCAACACAGTATTCTTATTAAAAAAATAAATGAAGAGAGTTTAAATTGACATCATGAGATGCCACAGGGCAAACAGATTACATAAAAGTGTCAAAACCCATGCATGTTTAAAGTAAGTCACACAAAGCTGTGGAAATCAACGACAACCTGTATTGTGGCTTCCAGCTCTCCTTCTCACACCATTGGACCTGTATCATCTAGCATACTTCCATCATAACAACACAGAGAGAAGATAAAAATTTCTTTTCCTGTAATGTGTACCTGAAAACTCAAAACGTTGTATATCTCTCTCTACATGCGCTGCTTACAGTCAGCAATATCATGTGCTCAGATATACCCCTCCCCAAAAGTGCTTCATTTACACTTTCAATTTGAGTTTCCTCTCCATTTCACACCACTCTAACAGCAAGCCAATCACTATTTATTACACAACAGAAGAACATGTTAAGAATACTCTTCAATCTTTCTTTGAACAGCAACATGGCCCAACAAAATAGCATCAACTACAATAACACTTTCTATTTACATAGAAAAGTAGCTTCCATTTATTACTACATTTCTCTCAGGAGTACTTCTAATTTCCCAAAATGACAAGTTTACATATCTTGGAGAAATTGCTCTGCATCATTAGCTTGCCAAGAATTTCATTTCGTCAGAGTATCCAAGGCTAAGGACATGTCAGAATGGAGAAGTTAATCAACACATGCAGCTTTCAGAGTGATACTCAGCAAGGAATTATGACCTGCATCACCACAGAAAGACTATTCAATTGAGCATACAATTCCCTATCAGCCTAGCATGAAGGAATAAACAAACAAAAACAAGACATGAATGATTGCCTTAACAAATAATGTAAATCGAATCTATTTTAATACCATTATACTAGCAGCCATTACGACTATTCTATTTACCTAAATTAGAAAAAAAGAAACTCAGACATACTTACTGCTTGCTAGGTCACACCCTGAATATCATGTTTGCTTAAAAACATAGTAAGACTACTTCTTCTGTTACCTTTCCAGTTACAGATAGCCTTCCAATTTATGAAAGCTAGCCAGGCAGCAACATGCAGCAAGAAAGCACAAAAAGCCAAATCCTCTGACCACGGTAAAAATTAATTTAAGCAACAGAAAAATTTTCGGACGTCTCTGGTGGGATAATGAACTTTGTAACGTAGAGAGCAAAAATAACAGAAAAGCAGCAAACCCTGTAATTGCCTGACCTGCTTCTGGATAAAACTTCTGGAAACATAACCTATACACTTATTTCTAAGCAGGCACACCAAGCAGAAATACACTCCTGGTATCTTCACAGGTGGCACGTGTCTGCCTTTCTGTATTCATCCTTTTAGACTTCAATCACCTATGAGTTTCATTTCACTTTCCCATCACACCACAACAAATTAAAAAATATAAACTAATAGCCTGGCAGAATTTGAAATAAAGGCCTTTCTTAAAAAAAAAAAAAAGACAACAAAACACTTACAGGGAAGTGGGAGAGTAGGGAAGAAATGCCTGGTAAGTCTGAACCACCAGCTGAAGGTGGTCTAATATAGAAAGTGAAAAATGTAAACACAAGGCCAGTTAGTGATAGGGTGCTCGAAATTATTTTCACTGAAAACAGTAAACACTATGATCTTCTGCTTTAAGTGTATGTCGTTTCCCAGAAGCATGCAGAAAAGCTGACTGGGAGAAGACAACCTGATGGTGCAGGGCCTAATAAGATTAATGCTTCTCCAGAAAGCATGCCAAAACAGTAGCGTGCTCTTGGCAGTTTATACCTGCTTATGGTCATGAAGTATGAATCTAACTGAGAATTGATACATAGCCTGGAGATGACTTAGCCCTGGATTTCCATTCTTCTGAATCAGGCATAATGCAAAGAAACATCAGCATATATACTTGTGTGCACACACATGCATGTGCAGTGGAAAGGATTGTGCCAACCACATTGACTATAATCAAGTATCCAAGGTCCTTTCTTCAGCTACAGAAACTTGAAGAAGTTAACATATTTGTTACATGCTGATTTTTTTTAATGTTTCAGCAAATATTAATGATACAGCCACTCTGACAGGAATAATAGCTTGAACACTTTCAGCTGCTCTAGTCCTGCCACATCATGCCACCTCTCAGAGAAAAAAAAATTCTGAGAAATTATGGAGCCAAGGTTTTGTTTTCTCCAAAACATAAGCCACATAGCCTTCAGGGTAAATATTGACGATGGCTTATTAGGGAAAAAAAGAAGTTTTGCAGGAAGCAACGATTAGAATACAAGATAGCCCTCCAGTGTTTGAAAGATGAAAAAATAACAAAGGAAATTATGACTAGAGTAACATTAGGACCTTACATGCTGATTAGCAAAAAAGAACTCTAGCTTGAGTTTGTTACAGGCTTCTGTATTGTTACACTTCTGTGCTAAGAAGTCACTGCTATTATCTTTCTCCCTTTGACATTTGAACTGTGATGTTTTGTAGACTTACTTCAAGTCAGCTGCTAATAAATTAAATCCATTGTAAAGATGTCCTTCTACTGAAACTTTCTTCAAGTAAGAGTAGCTGTCCAGATCTCCAGTCAAGAAGTTTGTTACAAGAGCACCTAAGAAAGAAAAGTACATAGAGCAACTTGTATGTGTGAACTCGCTATTCTGACAGGCTTGGTAAAACAAACAGTAAGACACAAGATTCCTGTTACCAACGGGGTATAACACTGAAAAAACCCAAACCAACCAACCAACCAGCCTTTAGAAGTCTTACAGCATTGTATCATATTCACATTAAGAGCTTGACTTTTACTTTGAAGAACTCAGTCAAAAGCTCTCAGTCAAAATTTCTACAGAATTCATATTTACTAACTATTCTATACTGGATGTGCCTTTCCTCTCCTCCCACCTTGCCAAACTCTTTCTTGTCTTGCTTCATTTTCCTGATATATGACCCTAAAATGAAATACAAATGACATGGTTCATTTGTTTCTCTGTATAACATATATATTCCCAATGCAGTACCATATGACAATTACAAACAGACCTATTTTTACTAAAAACCCGCCACAGATGCGCTCTTTCGGAAGAGGTTTTTTTCTTATCATTTCTGCTCCTCTGGTTATCAATGTGTAGGGGAGAAGGGACTACAATAATCTTTTAGGCTAACCTCCAGCATAATCCCAGTTGCATTGTTTCCCTGACTTAGGTGTTTGAACAAGAACGTACACATTTTTAAAAAGTCTACTATAATCTAAATCTAGCTCAATGCTTGTCTAGTTGTTCTGACTGTTAATTAGAATTACCGTCAAGACAAGACCGTTGATGCTGCATTTCTTGTCTGAATGTAACTTCAGGCTCTAGGAATTACATCGTTTTACTTTTGCCTGCTTGATTAGAATATCATTATCCAAGTCAAGTTCCCCATAGAGGTACTCATCAGTTCACAAATTCTGTTTACAGCACATAACCATTTTATTTGTCCATAAAGTGGTGTTAAAAAAAAAAAATACTGTAATCATCACTGTTTTACTGGGACACCAGGGCTTGTTTGTCCACTTTCTTCTTTTTCTATTTCTACTCCTTCATACCTCTTCCTTTTGCATTTTTATCAACCTTTGGCTGCATATAGTTTGTCAGGGCTGCCATCTTGCCTTTCTTACTGATGCCCAGCCATGTCCCACCTTCTTTTCCTTCCTCCATATCCAGACCTAATGGAATAAATAAGAGTTAGGCTATTACATTCATTTTAAAAAATCTCAAGCTCAGATCAGAATTTCTTAATGCAAATCCTGAGTCTTGATCAGGCTGGATAAAATGCAATAGGCACGAGACTGTTTCTCTGGACAAGTGAGCTAAGCCCACTTAAATTACCCGCCTTCCAATTCTGCAGTAGCGTGGAAGATATTGGTAATGCAATAATAGATGAGAGATAATGAGAAAATTAAATGTAGAAGCAAAATTATAAGCTTTGCCTATATGCTAAAATTCATATAAAACTTCAAGTAGGCTCAGAATACATGTTAGCTCAAAAGCAAATCTCAGAAGATTAATGTTATTTGCAAGTTTAAATTTACAAGTAACCAGAAAATTTAGAGTAAGCTAGGTAACTGATAAAAATCTTGGACTTTGGTAACGGTAATTTACATTGAGGAGGGGGACCGACAAAAGTGAAGCCCACAGCCAAACCTCTTGAAACAGAGTACAAGTTAAAAAAAAAAAAAAACCAACAAAACCAACCACTACCTATTTGTAATGAGCTCATGTTAACCAGCAAGCATTTAATGGAAAAACAAAAACTAGTTCAATATAACATGCATACTCTTAGAAACCTTTTAATTCTGAATCATCATGTCATAAGATAACTTTCATTAGAGGATCAAAAGAACAGGCTTTGGATCCTTATTCAGAAACTCCTTTCTTTCGTCAGTATCCAAAACTTCAATATCAAGTTTAGCCATATCACATCTTTACACAACACTTTTACCACTGTTCTTGACCTTAACTGAAAGGCACGCAGAAGAAAAACATACAGCTTTGCTGACCAATGCCCAGTGATTAACATATAGCAATTCCTGTTTTCCGAAATTGCTGTAAGTGCAAAATATTTTTTCATTTTTAAGTCACACAAAGAATAAATTTGATCTGTTTTGGTTCAACTTGCTCCTTTCATTTGAGATAACATTAACTCAGAGGCATATAGTCATGGGATCTCCACAGATACACCCCCTGGATGGAGAATATACCAGTTTCTTATGTCAAATATGGCCAGAGCTGACAAAGGTATAAAAGACAAAAATTGAGGGCCCTTCTGTTTTCAGGATAGGTTTTTTTTTGTTGTTTTAAACTGCTACATAGCAGGGGAAGCCACATCCAGAATGTCTGGCACGAAACAGAAACGTCAGCCAGAACTTCAGAAGCAAGGGAGTTGCAGTGCAGCAGGAGTAATTTACCCTCACAGGCCTCCCTGCCAATGACAATAACACACAGCATCAACAAAGAGTATTTGCAAAGTCAAAATCTTGCATTTAAACAATGCTCTGTCTTCCAGAGCTTCATTTCTGTTTCCAAGAAAAGGCAGAATTATTGATTATACTTAAAAATGACTACAGATAGATTCCCTACAAAGGAGAACCAGACAGCTGAGTGACTGTACTATCAGTTTAGCAAAATGTAGACATGAAAGCTAATAAACTGATGGATCAATAACTAAAATTATTCTGTAGCCTATAAATTATTAACCAATAAGAAATGAGAAAGTTTTCACTTTCTTGAGGCTTGGTTTAATGATTTCAAGTCACTATTACAGACAATGAGTCTGTGGAATAACTAATTCCACCTATTTTGAGAAGTATTTCAATGTATCTGACAAAGCTAAAGTAATCGTTTATGATGGACAAATTAATCTTATCTATTTCCATTGCACTGCTTGGACTGAAATCAGTTAAAGAACAAAAAACTGGGAAAAAACCCACAAGATATTAAAACACAAATAACAAAATAATAGCACAACTCACCTTTCAAACTTATAACATGTTTTCCCCAGAAGTAAAGGGAAGAAGCATATTTCTTATTAGAAATGGAACACCACCACCCCAATAACAAAAAATCCAGGCCATAATTCCCTTATGAATTGTCTGAAAACCACTCAAAACAAGAAGACATACACACCACTAAGGATCTCATTGCTGTTGTCCCAAAAATCTGCCGATTTGGATGGTCTATGGTAAAATTCATCTCTATTAGCTGCTAAAATAAGCCTGTAGAACACAAGAGGAAAAAGATACTATTACTTATAAATAGGAACTTCACAGGACAGGCAGGAACAGAATCCAATTCTTGCCACAGCATTAGCTCATTTTAAGTATGAAACCGTCCTTTATCCTCCCATCTCACCTTTATCACTCAGTGTAAAGGTCGAATGACATCTGACAGCAGACTTCTCTCTCATTGTCTTGAGACATTTAGCAAGTCTATCTTGTTGTGTGAATGAGGCAGCTATTATTTTCAAAGAATAATACTTAACACAAGAGATTGAATTAAGATGGCATAAGCAATCTTAAGATTCCTCAGCATGTGAAGTTACAGCTTAATTAAAGAAAATTTATAGGTAACTTATCAAAGAAATTTGAAGCATGAGAGTATGTTTTTACTGGATCATTACTTAGGATCACGTATTCACAGTATTTTTTAATCTAACTTCAACATCTAAAGCTCTATTTATGTGGTTCAAAGATACAAGCCAGATGCTTTTGCCTGTAAGTACCCAGAACAGAGATAAATTTGTGATAGTCTCAAAAGTCCAGACCCACTGAAATTCATTTGAAGAAACGACAGCATGCTCAAGGAGGCAGAGAAGTAAAGGGAAAAGGCATGGGGTTTTGTAACAATCAAGAGGTATTTTGGTGGGGCTTCTGTTTTTTGTTGTTTTGTGGGGTTTTTTTGCATGTGTAATTGCTTGCATAATCTGAGTTCTACCAGAACAGTAGGACAAAATAGTTGAATTGTTAATGAGAGTCAGCCCTTGCAGTAGAGCAACTACAAGGAGCGCCGGAGGCTACACGATGTAGGATGTAGGAAGAAGTTATAAAAAATAATATGCAATTGAAAAATGCTGCTGGATGAAATCCATTATTTAGATTTAGAAATAAACACATCACGCCACAAGACCAAGTGCTGTTCTGCCAAAAAGCATGCTGCAGCTCTTCACATGCCATCTAAAATTTGATAATTTTAGAAAACAAAGAGATATTAAAAACAGCAGACATTATTGGGAAACGGCAGTGACAGAAAATTCTGCTAGCGATGCCTGGTTCCCTCTGCTCTGTACATTGATAATTATCATAAATGGCACCTGCAGACTTGAAAGACCAAGTTCAACATGGTATTTAAGAAGCAGTGGACATAGAAAATAGGACAGGTCTTCCTCAAAAGTTCCAGGTTTGGCAGCAATGCAGATCGGTCAAATTCAATGGTAACACCAGTTCAAGCCAGCGAGACTGTGAATGTAAAGCAGGTAAGCCAGAGAGCTTCAGAGGAATTTATAACAGTCTCAGTTCTTGGCCTTTGAAAAGCAAAAACTGTTTCTCCGTCCATTTCATCCAGCAGAAGTTATTAAAACAAAGCAAGTTGTTCGGTGTACTCCCTTACAGATCATACAAATACCTCACTGAATGCATGCCACAGTCATTTCATTAGCAACGTTAGTACCGTAACACTAGAAGGAAAAGTCTAGGCTAATCTGACTGTGCACATCCATGTTTTGAAAGTGAGGAAGTTAACATTTTCTGTTATTCAAAAGCAATGGAAGACAGCATCAGAAACTAAATTTAATGACTTACTGCAACATCAAATAGATCTATAGATAAAAGCTTGAATTAGAAGCGTTACTGGGTTTCTATGCTGAAAATTGGCATTCAGACACTGCCATTTTCAAACCTATAGATGAGCTTTCATTTAATGCTGCTCTTCCATCAGTCTTTTTTCAATCATTATTTTGGAATTTGGAAAAAAAAAAAAAAGTTTTTTTCATTGATAGAACATGCTCACCTGAAGAGCAGGTAATGGATTTGGCTGATCCAAGTAAAGAGCAAAAGACTGTAACCCTAGGCAAGCCATATGCTGGAGACTCAGGGCTGCAGACATGCTTGCGCACAACTCCACCACACCATGCTGTGATCTGACAGCTAGAGCTTCCAAAGTCCTGCTCATGTTACCCATAACATGACTTGCCTTTATTTCAATTGCAAGATTGCGAGTGTTTCCCATTCTCTCCAGCTATGTTGCTTAGTATTTAATTTTAATGAAATGCCATCTTTCAGAAACCTGCAGATTTTTTTAACCAGTTTCCTATAACCTCAGTATCTTCTTCACTGTCAGTTCCTCGTACCAGCTGCACATCAATTACATTTACACAGCAGAAGCCAAGGTTGCTACTGTAAACTGAAGTTAGACCATAAATTTTCATTCTAGTTTTTAAGCTACAATACACAAGAATCAATTCCAATGAAATCTCATTACTTTACTCAGCATTCAAATGTACTGACATTTTCTGCACGTTTCTGGACCTTTCCTGCAAATTCATAGAATCATTAACACAATGTTAAATGTTTTAAAACATGATCATGAGGTGCCAGTAGCACATTAGAAATACTACAGATAATGAATTATAATCAGCTATAGAGAAAATAAAAAAGGCTAACACTTCAATGGCATCCTTTCTGTAAGGAAGATGCTTAGTATTTTGCCCAACAAAGATAGCATCTGTTGGAAAGCACAGCGTATCTTTCCAATGTCAAATAATTATAATATCATTCCTTTCAGACTTGCATTATTTCTCTTCTTCTAGCCGATTCTAATCTTTGACCTATAGGCTTTCAGCTGGTTTACCAAATTTCTGTCTTCTTGCTTGAATATCCTGTACAGCATGCATCCTCCTTTTACAGATTTTTATTTAAATAAACATGTCTACTGTTAAAAAATTGTTTGGCTGAAGTGCATTTCTCATTTGCTGAAGCTCCAATTATATTTTGCCTTCAATAATTCTTGACACGAAACCACAGTTTGTTTATAGTATCTAAATATTAAAAATAAGCAAAGTCTTTTTGGTGTGATTGGATATTCCCTATGCCAAGTTTAGTACACAGACTCCTAAATTTAGCACACGGCTAGTATACAGGATCACTATAATCAAAACATCTTCATTTTGTCTTTTATGAAACATAAACATACTGAAACGGAGCAATATTAAGTGACCCTCATCTTCTAATAAATTGCAAAAAGCCTGTTCAGCTATTTTTATAGCTGACATAATTCTACTGTATTAGGATTTACGTATTAAGGTTTATTTTAATGTTGAGGCAGAGGGATGAAAACATGAGAAATCATTCCATTAAAGCAATTTCCTACAATGCAATTCAGTTCCATAAAAAGACTCTGTGATTATAGCTTTGAAGCTTGCAACATGTATTTATTTGTAAGACGCACACAGTATAGTTCAGAAAGATGTAAAGGCAGCATGTTACCTTTGACAATAACAATGGACTACAGTAAAGTGTTTGTTACAATGCACTAAACTTTACTACAAATAGGCCTGTAGAGAGAACACAGAGGAAAAAAGGTAGAACTGCAAGTTGCAAGGGTACAGGAAGATAGAGACTTGTTAGTGTATCACAAAGGTGAACTGTAAGCTTTTTGCTTAATTAGGTGCTCATGAAAATTGGCCAATGTACCGTTCTAGAAACCAAAGTCTACCTGGATAGAAAATTCTCCTAAGTGTTATGGAGAACATGTTTTAGTTTGAGAAAGTTTATTGGCTACAAGAAAAAGGCCAACAATATGCAGTTTGTCTTTCCAACTTTTAATGCCTATTTTAGACACCTTCTTTTAGTTAGAGATGCAAAGTAGAGGATAGTAAGAAAAGTAATTGTAGATGCCTGTTTTAATGCGGACAGACAAATTAGTGTATCTGCAGGTACAGGAATCCCCTTTTGGTTGGGAAAACCATTCCAAGACCTCATCGTGAAATAAACAGAGCTATAGCACAGTGTAACACACATGAGTTGTCAGGAAAAACTATGCTTAGCAAGAGACTAGTATAGAAGTCTAACTTGGTCTAATGGCTATAATACTGTTCATAGAATTAGGAGGGCTGGGTAGCATTCCCAACTGATACTCAGACCTATAACCTTCAGAAAGCTGAGGCAAAGGTGAAAAAACCTTAGGAACAATTTAAGAAGAACGAACTTCAACATTCTTCCAAATAAAGACAAGCAAAAAGACTTAGTCATGGTGCGTTAAGGAAAAAACAGGGGACTTAAGTTAAGTAACTGATGTTAAAATCTGACACCAAGAACACTATGGCCTAGCACTTGTCACCGAAACAGATGGCTCAGAGTAATTTATCTCAGAGGTATAGAGCAAGACATCCCTTAACAAAAGGTACCAAGAAAGTTAAATACAATTAAATATTCCTGAATTTGGGCCAATTCTCAAAAGTGTTTTCCTATTTTGACATTGATAGCAAGTTGTTTTCTGCTATAAATCAATAATTTCAATCTCGATGCAATTTTTTATAGCAAGCAAAGTAGTCTAAGTTTTACGTTTAAATATTGATCACAGCAGAAAGTTCACTTGGCAAACAACTACAGTTTACATCCAAAGGGTTCTCCCAAGAGGCATCAAATTGATGAACCTGTCTTTTGCTAACTAGCAACACAAAGTAAGTCAGACCAAATAAATGGATATATTAATTCAACACCAGTCACATCATAAACAAAACCCCTTTTTAGGCAGATTCCAGATGCAGAAAGGAATGCACTCTATGGACAATTGAAGTTTCGGTTCTCATTTCCTTTCTTTCTATAGAATGGCATCTGCTTCTCAATACAAAAAGGCAGAAAAACAAGTCAATGAAAGGCACAATGATTTACTGAGCATACTGACTGACAGTTTCTGGATGAATACCAATACTTGTACCCCACAAAGTAATATGGAACCTATACAGTATGTATAAATACAGAAAGCAATAGAACTCTGCAGTCTCCTTACTGGCCTGAAGTGCTATCTTTCTATTACATACTGAATGTACTCAAAGATACTTATGTTGGATATGAACTTTTAAAATTAAGGGCTGTAATGAGAAAGGAAATTATTACAGGAAGCTTAATGTTTAGGAAACTCACTGTATGACATCAGCACATCCAGTAAAACTTATAGAAGCATGGATGCTTGTTTTGTCTTAAGCTTTTGGCTAAACATCTCATACACATTATTATGAGTTTATTACCTAAAATTTTAATTAATTTTAAATTTTAATTAATTTTAATTACATAACATTTTAACATGACTGTTAGTTTATTACCTAAAATTTTAATTGCAAGCAGATTTGGGGGAGGAGGAAGGCTAGGACACTTACTAGAAGTTCTTTATTCTCCAGTTAAGAGGACTACTTGTTTTACATTGATACAGGAGTATAATCAGTTTGAAAGCAGCGAGATTTGATTTCCAGCATTTTCTGAAATTGTAAGTACTTAATTTTATGACAAACAACAACTGAAGATCTTTAAGTTCCTTGTCCCAAAAGCAAACTGATAGGCATAAATAACCTTGACCTCATCTATCCATATTTTAAAAAGCAACTGCACCTATTCACAAGCTAGCCAGTTCTGTCAAAAACACAGTGGAAGAGTGAGCGTGGTAGCCATGATGTTACATGGAACAGAGCCGTGAACTACACAATAAACAAGAAGGTACTGTTGTTGGGAGGAAACAGGACAAAGTGGCAATCCAAAGTTAACCAGAAGCTACCTAAGCAGTTAAATTTCAGTGTTAGTACCTCTTGGACTCATAGTGTATTACTGTCTTGGCTTACAAGACTGGACCAGCACATATTAACAGACAAGAAATTAATACACAGAATGGTCAGTAACTGCAATACTTCTGCTCTACTGTCTGCCCATTACTTTCCAGGCTAAATACAAATTGTTGGTTTTGAACTGAAAGCCCTAAACATATCCACGCTACTGAAAGAAATTGCATCTTTTCCTGAACCTCACTGCTACAGCTCTGATGCCCCAACAAACACCATTCCCCTTAGTTTAAATGATAAAGTAGAAGGCAGGACTTTCAAACTCTGGATTACAATACTTAAAAGGATTTATCCTACACCACATGATAGACCACCAGCAAAAGGCCCATGATTACAAAGCCCAAGTTTTCTGACATAGTCTAAAACCAAAGGGTTCTCAAAAGGTTACAGTAAGTCCTCCAATGGGGAAAGTCAAGAAGGTAAACATTACAAAAGCATAATTGAACACCTAATACTGACAAGAGTTTCTAATTCAAACATCGGCTACAAAAAGAAATTGTATAAACAATTATAGAAACAAGTCTGTTTTAACTAGAACCATCTTTACCTGTATGCATTTTTTGAAACTGGTCGGGGGTCAAATTTGAATAGAAGGATGCACATTGAAGAATTGATGTTTAAATCTTGCTTCTTCCACAAAGGCTCAGTGCAAGGTCATTCTGTAAGGGCCTACAAAGTAAATAAAGATTATCTATTATACTGCAAATTATAAAAAGATAACCTTGCTTCTACGCTGAAGCTTAAAGATTGCTATGTTCTCACTAATAGCTCTCAATAAAAAAAAAAACCAAAACCAAACGAAACAGGACAAAATGAAACAGGACAATGTTTCAATGAATGGTTTACTACCAAAATTCCTATAGTGGTTGTTTCAAAGTTATGCTTGGCTAATTCACATTTTTAGGAAAGAAACAAGCATCAGAAAAATACTGACAAAGTCTAGAGCACTAGCAATACATGAAAGAAAGACTATTATGTATTTTTCTCTCATTACCAATAAAGTACCACTACTTTTTTTTCCCCTGTCTTAAGTAAGGCAAAATGCTTCTGTTAGAATAAATGAGAAAATAAGACTCAAACTGTTGCAGAAGCTGGAAAAAGCCTGATCAAAGACACTCCCAAACCTGTAAATAAAGCATACTTTAGACCAAGCTATTATTAAAGCACAGGAGAAAGTATTATTGTTTATCATCGGGAAAAACATCAGGTACAAACAAAAATACACTGGACCAGAGCGTACATTTTGATGAATAGTTTCCAGCACTTGTGGTATGTTTAAAATTCTGGCCATGCTCAGATGGCATGACAAACGTGCTTTTTATTTCAAAACCACATAACAGCTTTCAAATATTTTGTGTTGTCCCAATGAACATTTTTCTGATCATAAAACCGCAGCCTGATCCTTACGTTTTGTAGCTGCTAAAACAATTATCAGAATGTTACCAACCAACCACACACAACCATGTTTTACTGCTACTGAGAGTTTCTTCCATGCAAATTTTTTTGAGGTAGGCAAAGAGGGGAAGGGGACAGGCAGAATACCACAACTCTAAGACTACCTGAGCAACCCAGTGACTGAATCAACTTCTGTACAAAAAGTAGGATTTTTAACCATACTTCCAGATATGTAAAAAGTGTCTCTCTTGCTCTTTAATTTCCACATCATTTACCTTAAGAGATATCAGGAAATGGATAATCTTGACTACATTTCATATTACCAGAAGTAGTGCTACAAGTTCAGCATTTATACAGATTTTTTTAATTAACAGCTTGCCAGTAGCTGCTGGCTCCTGTTAAGTCACAGTTCAGCACCACAACTAGCGTGCTGTTGCTGTCATGGCACAAGTTCAGTCTTGCAATCTAATATGCTGCAAAAAGACTCTTCTGTTGCAGGAAATGAAATAACTTAAAATGAGGTGCAACACTCCTGACACGCTTGCCAAGGCAAAAGAAACCTAGTGCAAGAGAGTGTGTGTCTATGTATGTATCTCTGTCTCAAAGTATTTTAAATTCTGTTCTGTGACAAAAGGAACTTCCCTCCCAAGACAACTTCATAGTCTACTAGCTAAGAGCAGCAATAGCCTTGCCATCCAAACCATTTTCTGTTTAACAGGTTACACAATAAGGCACCAGAAAAAACAGAATTAAATCACAGCGTAGGCTTTCTTTGCCTCTGACAAGTCAATCCCAAAAAAACTGGTTTAGAAATTAATCATAAATTGAAGATGCAGACTTGAATTTTGGATAACTGATTTACCAGCCAGGTGTTTAAAAAGATCCATAGCCAGCTTTATTTAGAAAATCTAATCAGTCTTAAGAAGGTGTTATTACCCTTCTCAGACTCCTATTGCTGAATTTTCAATAGACTGCAATCATACTGGACTTGTACAACCGATCTACCAGTTCTGGAAGACTTGGATCTTCCACATACAGAACTTGTTAGCTTTTCACAAAACTCGGGATCTTGTATCCCAGCTGTTTTATGTCACTAAGCATAAGTAACACTGAGCTGTTCACGCCTTCCACTCAAACTCTTAAAAGGTAACTGAAGCAAAACAAAGTTACAGTCATGGTTCAAATCACAGAGCACGTATTTCCTAGAGCAACAGACAGCTTATGAACTAGAGCACAGTGCCATTTCCAGATAATATAATTAAAACATAACACAACTGTAGGTACTTCTGAAACCTTTTACACTTATTTTTTTACTTTAAATTTCTGATGCTGTCCAGATATCCAGGCAGTATCTATATGCCATACCCTACCTCAGTTTCTTTATTCAGGATACCATTTCTTCTACCAGAAGGGATTTAAATTGCAGAGCTTCCTATTCATGATTTCTCCTCTAGAACATTACGTTGTTCTTTATTCTGCACCAGCTACCTTTCTTTTAACCTTGTCTTGTCTCAGTCCAGAATGTCCTTGCCTTGCTTTATGTCCTTCTCTTGCCTCCAAACATACGCTGCCTCTAGATACTTAGTCATCGGACATTTATTTTTCTGTTTGGTAATTTTTCTGTCCCCAGAAGAACATGGAAGATGGGTTTCTTCATGACTTAGGTTCTTCAGCACGCTTACTGTGCAGCCAGAACATAGTCATGAATATTATTTACTTCCATTCATTCTACTACACCTTCCGAACAGGTCCCTACATACACTTGGCAATCCAACCAGCCCAGCGGATAAACTACACATTGCTTAACGTCTGTAGGAGCTTGGGGTATCGTCAAGTCTGGCAGATTTTCCCCATTGAAAGACTGGGCTCCCAAATAATCCTCTCCTCTCAGGGACGCACAATCCTACATAACATAAGCCTCCAGCAAGGTTAGGGCAAATAACAGTTACCCCTCTTTCCCGAACGATGCGAATCTCAGAGTGGTTATTGCTTATGTAACTTAGTGCACAGGCTACACAGAAACCAAAGAGGAGTGGTTCCCCGCCACCCCCCTTCAAAAAGTGAATCTTTTTGCCGAAGTCATTGCTGATGAGAGACTCGGATTAGGATAGACAAGACCTTTCAAACCCCACTCTCAACATTACGGTTAGAACATTGCAATAAATGTCAAACTAAGTACAAAGGTTTATTTTAGCTGACTGTTCGCTGCTGTTCTGTTCCTCAAGCAATTTTCTCACAGACAGCTCCACAAGTAGATGGAAACAGCACTCCGTCCTTCACAACAACTTGACTGAACATGAAATTGGGGGAAGGAGGAACGTCAGTGAACAACTCTGCTGCACCAGGCTCAACGCTGGCCAAGATGTCCTCCTTCCTGTTCCAAGTTCTGCAGATGGGGAGTTCTGTAGACAACTGCTCCCCCCTCCTCCCTCAATATCTCAAAATCAAGACTTGCCGGCTGTGTTTATAAGCCGTGCTGTACAGATGCAAATAAGCTGCTGCACCAAAAAGGAAAAGCAACACATTTTCTGTTAACAAACATATTCAATACTAGCAGTTAGGAAAGCTAAACCTGGTAATAGCATTTTAAAGCAGCACTCTTTCAAGTTAGTCACATTTTTGAACACGCAAACTCTAACTTACATTATCAGATCTACTGCTAGTTGCACTTCCACCAAAAAAAGCAAGTTTATCACACACTAATGATTTCAGTTATGCAGATTTCAATTTTACAGTTCAATTGCTTTATCTTATCTTTTCCTTTTCTCCCCAATCTGCAGCCTACAGGGGAAGTGAACTTTTTGTCTCTGAACCAGAAAGCCACCAGAGCCAAGCTTAGCCAGTGACTCACGTGACACATTGATGATGCCAAAAAGATCTGAATTAGTAATGGAAAAGTCTTCGCAAAAGAAGCAGCAGCACAAGACTGATCCTAACCATGGCTCTGAGAATTCATGTTGCAAAATACTCCTTGGAAGCCCAGAAAAAAATGGACAGATTATGTTTGTTAAAATAAAAGACAGATCATCTCAAAGAGCTTTAGTTTGTCTTTAGGAAGTGTACCAAAAAGCTATGTAAAAAAATAAATCTAGATTGAGTGATTTCTTGCCTGTTCATTGAGCAACTTGTTACAAAAACTTACAAATGAGTTTAATAAGCAGTTCCATTGTAATTACAACTTCACATGCCCTTCAGAAGGTAAAAGGCTACAGCTTCTACTATCAAGGATATATTACTGGCTGCCCATCAGAAATGAACTTATGTCCATAAAACACATTAAATAAAATTCATTAACAAAGTGGCTCATGGATCAAGCAATACACTAGAATAATACTGTACACTATTGTTCACTGGTCCCTACTTCACATAGACAGAAATATGATAGCTTCATTCTTTTCGCCTTTTCCTCAGTGGGAGCATCAAGACTGACATTTATATATATTAAGCCATACCAGACTATTTCAGAAACAACACTCATAGCTCAGAAGAGATTCCCTTCAAAACTACAGTTGAAAGGTACCCATTTACAACATCAGCATGAATATGGTAGGTAATTCTTAAAACTTTTTTTTTTTGACCAAGTACATAGAAGCACACTTGGTGAAAGCAGGGATATAAAATACAATTTTAATGGGGAACTGTCACTGACTACTCTTGCTGACCATGGAGATATGGCTCCCAGTATTCATTAGGTGTCCTGCCAGATAATTAAATGGATTACTCAGTAAAAAACTGTTGACAACTAATCACTCATAAGACTACTATTTTAATAAACAGGTTTCAGGCTCCATTAGCTGATTTATTGAGTTCCCTTCAAATAAACAATTCAGTCCAGCTGTTTGTGCAAAGGTCAACATAAAGCTTACACAAAAACTGCCAGTCAGAAAACAGCAGAATAAGTTTGTAACACCCGCCACAATTATCCAGAGGGACAAATATTTTCAACACTTTGATGCTTTTCTGGAATCCATATTCATTATTATTCAGTACTACTAATTTGACAGCAGCATCTTTTTGTCACCCCATCAACTCTGCTTGATGTTATTACAGTTCTTTAAGTTACATTTGTGCTTTTAGTAACTCCAAATATCAAAACAGTATTATTTATCTTGGGCTCCACCTGCCGGCCTTGAAACAAGCCTGTTTATAGGTCCTACATAAACAGTCGAACCTTTTTTGTTATTCAGACAGAAGTGTTTAAGCCACCTAAAACAGAGCTACCCCTTAAAAAAAACCGATACTTAATTGGCAAAGGAGGCAACCAATGTATTTTGGT